ACAGAACCAAGACCGTGACAAAGACACGTCCTTGTCTACAATTGCGTACGGGGCCAACCAGGTGTCAGTGACGGGGCCCCTTAGAGGTTGGGGGCCCCTAAGCAACTGCAGTCTCTGCTTACTGATATTTACACCATTGTAAAAACTGTCATCAAAATTAATTACTTGAAACCGCAGACATCCCAAGCCTCCCGGAAGTCTCCCTGATATAGATAGTTGTTCACGGATGCCTGTGAGTCTGATAAATTATCCCGTATTTTAGACTATGGGAGATGGTGTCTTTTTAATGCGAGTGAGAGCGGAAAGGCAGCACAATAATTCTTGCATCATGTGCGGATTGTAACTGCTGAGATTGTGTAGACAAAAAGAGAGCGTAGGGTGTGGGGAGGAGGTTGCTGTTGAAACCTGTGCAGCGTGTCTGCCCAAAGCGATGCTCTGTTCAATGAGCGTTCAAGGCGACTGGTTGTCACGAAGCTGATTGGATCAGTTCGATAAGTTTCGGGTTACTCTCACCTAGTTACAACTCAAAGCTCTGCATTCTGTGAAACAGCAGAGGTTCAATCCTCGAGTAAATAATGAAAATATAGGACAAATTTTACAGCAGAATATACTAAAGTATATCCACATCTAGTGAAGGTGAGGAACAGTGGCAGATCTAGACCAAATGTACCAGGGGGCCAGGAGGGGGCCAGTGTGTTTTCATGGGGGGCCAGAAAAGCAAAGTGAAATTTCTTTTTAATAGGTTCAATAAAAAAATGATCTCTTTTGAGGTCAATATACATTTATAATTTCGGAATTTTACATATTTTCGATTTAAGTTAAAACTACCGTTTTCTATAAATTTTGAATTAGAAATCAAGAAAAACTGTTAAATTCATCTGTAAAAATTAGATCATTTTTTTTATTTGTTGTGAAAAAAAAACATTTAGCAGATGAAAACTGGGATCCTATCTCAATCCCACTGAAGTTATCACCTTATTGTTTTTGAATAATTAGTAAAACAGAATTTGTAAAGAAAAAGAATTAAATAGATCCAAAGGGCCTATCAGTAACCATGTCTGTTCCAGCGCATATAATCTTTAAATTTTCTTTTAAGTATTATGTGTCAGGATTTGGTTGTGGTGTGAGGACCCAAATGCAGAGGCAGGGAGGCAGAGGTGAGTTTCTTGATGATTTAATGAAGAGTAAACAAACAACTGAGGCAGGAATCCAAAATCCAAAAATCAAAACATGAAAACAAAGTCAAACAAACCAGAAACCATGGAGACATCAGGGGGGAAAACTATCACGAGGAGGAAGACTCAGAGACAAAGTTGGAGGAAGTTACACGAGGAATCAGCACAGAGGAACTGAACAGAGAGAGTATTTATGGGAGACTGAAACAAAGGACTAATGAGGAGATTGGGAGCAGGTGTGAACAGAGAAGAACAGGAAAGGAGATAGGGAAAAAGGAGAACACAAGAGGGCAGCAAAGGGCAACAAATAAAAAAAACTGAAAACTGAAAATAACCAGAAAACACAACAAAATAAGAATTAAACCATTAAAACTAGAAAACAAGGAGCAAAGTAAAACTTCTGAACGTCATTAATATTTGACAAAGGTTACTATTATGCGTCTTGTTATGCAGAAGCGGCAAGAAAAACAACAACCATGGCAGATGATGCGGAGAGCAGTATTTATGTTTAACCATGTTTATCCGGAAAAAAAGAGCACGCTGGCCTGTGACGTCAATGTGTCCTCTACTGCGCATGCGGGACACTCTCGTTGTATGAAAGCAGTTCACACAGGAGATCACATACAAGTCTCATATATTTAGAAATATGAACGGCAGCATAAAAAAATCGGATTTTGCAAAGAAAATCGGAATTGAACAGAAAGCCCACATTTTTATCTTCAGGTAAAACAGAGCACATGTCGGAATATAAATTCTGACATGTGCTGATATACATAATACCACTTCAGCGATAGTTTCAAGGTGTTTCTTTATTGTATGTCTCGTTTAATGTCTGTTGGTTGAGCTGTTCTTTTTACATCTCATTGCAGGTGATGAAGCAGACTGAAAATGTTTTATCTTTATCTCCTTTCTATCTCCTCTTTCTTTGATCTTTTCTCCTTTTCTTTTCCGTTTTTGCTCTTATATTCTATTTACATTGCTGTGTCCATATAATCTATAAAACTCCCTGCATAATTATAGTAAAGCAATTTATATGCATGAAACAAGTGGAACACTATGGCAATAGCCCTACTGCTCCACTTGTGAAAGTGGAATTGAGCATCAAGGCCTGCAGTGTGAACATAGCCTATGTCTTCAGGACATGATCTACAGGGGCACTGGCCCCCGTTGGCCCCTTTCTAAAACCGGCCATGGTGAGGAGTGACGACACTGTGATGAGGCAGAGGCATATCCAGAAAATTTTTATAAGGGTGGCCAGGCTATAACAAATGTAAACTGAGGGGTGGCCAAAAGCAGATAGGCACCAGAACCTCACGGTCAGTCTACACTGTTCCAACAGAAAAACATCCATATTTTCTAAATACAGACAAACTATACTTTCCTACAGCCTTTGCTAACAAATAGACGCATATTTTTAAACATCCGTGCTTTCTAAATAAAAGGTGTAGCAGATTTAATTCCTTCAGTTTTGAGATCTGGGGCGTAAATCCAGTGATGGGCAGTAGCGCCGCTACATGTAGCGAAGCTATTAGTTTAACTACATTTTCCAGTAGCTTGACTGTAGCGTCGCTGCTTTATTTATCAAGTAACTTTCCTGTAGCGACGTTATTGTTTTGATCAAGTAGCGACGTAGCGTCCACAAACGCTACAAAATCCAGGGCAAAACTAAGAAATGAAACCAAGTTTTCTATTTTGAAACAACAATCAGCCACAAGCTACTGTAAATAGCAGTTTCAGCTGATGCTCTTATAAGTGGCGTAGTAGCACAGGCACACTCAGTAGGGTTAAACAAGCGCACCCTTTCCGAGGCTGTCGTTCTATTGGCTGGAAAGGTTGCTAGGCAACGATCCAACTGCAGTCTGAGAGAGCAAAACAAATCCGCAAGCAGAGCCTACGGATTTGCGAGCGTAACAGAGCGCGGTTTGTGCGCGAAGAGAAGGAGGCAAGCGAGAGGAGAAAATATCTGTGCAAGAAGGATTAAATCTGAGAGAAGAAACAAAGAGAGAAGAGAAAATATTTGAGAGAGAGCACATGTTTTAAGTGTGAGCATTATAAGTTTTGAGAGCAAGAAGATGAAATTCTTTTCTCAAATTGAAATGATGTGCTCTTGCATTATGGCAGGATAATTCTCCCATATCTATGTGCCACTAAGATACTCTAATTAGAGAGCAGTAGTGAAACTTCCATATTGTATTTTCATGGCCTAGTTTACCTGACAGGATGTTTACATAAATCTGTTTTTAGGCTGTGCACAGATAAGATTTTTTATGGAGGAACAGTTCTACCGTATATAAAATAAATACATAAATAAATAAATGCTCAATAAATAAATAAATAAGCATTCAATTAATTGCCTCCAAAAATACAATGAATAAATATGTAGGTAGAAATTAAATTAAATGGTGAGACATATATATATGTATCTCTTAATTAGCTTCTTTATTTTTTCACCTTCTTTTGTAAACAGTTTTGTTTGTTACTTGAATCAACTGTTTAATTGAGGTCTTTTGTAGGGTTTTGTTTCCCTAGAGATGTCCATTGAATGCAAACTCATAGCCATGTCTCGGTGTGTAGAACACTACACAGTACCTTTAATTTGGTTCTAATAACAGCAGATTGTTTACTAGTTTGTCTACTAGTAATTACTTTAGTTTTTATTTTAATATGCTGATCATAAAGCCATGTTTACACTGTGATATGTCATTGGCTGATCTTTAATAAATATTTTAACTAGTGTGTCAGACTCATTTTGAATTGACATTAGGTTGGTACAACGTTAAGTAGCTTCTGATGTAGTTAAGCTACTTTTAACACATTAGTGTAACTTAGCTTGCTATAATTCTTTAGGTGGTAGCTTTTGTGTAGTGAAGCTTAATTTATTGTTGAGTAGTTGATAGCTTAGCTCACTACACTGGACAAGTAGCTTGCCCAACACTGCGTAAATCTTACTTACCTACTTGTATCGATAAAAATTCAGCTTTAAATTGATATTTACAAGCACTAATATCTACATAAATTGATAAGTTTTTATCAAAATTGTTATTTATCTATGATTTCACTGAAGACTCCCAGATGACTTGCAAAGATATATTTTGTCTTTACCCCATAAAACACAAAATCTAGTTCTGAAAACAGCATGAATTCTGTATTTATCATCTTTGATGTTAGTATATTGATGTGCATAATTACCCCCCCAAAAAATTTAAATGTTTAGAATATTCCACATGAGAGTATTACTGCTGCCACCGTCTGGATTAGGGGAAAAAATGGTAGGGGTGGCCACAGTGGTGGCCAATGATTGGCTGAGGGTGGCCATGGCCACCCCTGGCCCCACATCTAGCTCCGGCCCTGTGAGGAGGTGCTGAAGTGAAGTCCCATGAAAAACAGAAAGCACTACCGGTGTTCAAGGCTACAAGATTGAAAGTATTGAAAATAAAAGACCAATACTGTTCTGTTTTGTGTTTAAGAAATTATAGTTAAATGAGTTTTTGGAACTTGGGATATCTGAAACCCTTCCAAACAGACACATTATATGCACACAAAAAAAGTCACAATAGATAAATGAAGCTTAACTTTCCGTTAGAAGTTTATGATTTGAGCATCCAAAGATGTATATATTTAGGTGCTCTCTGGGTTTTTTTTTGCCTTTAACAGGTCGTTCTTCTCTGTTTTCCCCACCTTCAGGACAAGCCTGTGCCTGCAGCCTGCAGCAGCGCTGCCCCCCCCAGCCTAGGAGAGCTGCTCTAACCCTCCTCTCTCTCTCTCTCTCTCTCTCTCTCTCTCTCTCTCTCTCTCTCTCTCTCTCTCTCTCTCTCTCTCTCTCTCTCTCTCCCTTAAAGGCGGAAGTTTTAGTTCCGCTCATTCAGTTCTTAGAAACTGAGAACAGACCAGAAGTCGCTTCTTTCTCCCAACACTAAACGCGGTTCCCTCAGATAAGGTGAGCAACCGAGAGCAATTAGAAAATGTTTCTTTTAATATCAATTATTCTGTTAGTTTGTTTCATATTTTTTGTTGGTTTCCGTTACACAGCTGCAGTTCAGAACTAACCGATTCAGTCCAAATTAAAATGTATTAGTAAAACTTTTAAATAGATAAAATATGTTTTTGAGCGAACATGGTGTTTTATTCTATTGTTATGTGTTTTATGGCACACCCTCTGAGCTTCAGTGCGGTCATGCACCTTCTCCAAATTAACATGGGTGGACAGACTGATCCTTCACTATTACACTCTGGGTTTTTGTTCACTATAAATAAGATTTATAAGCGAAATATCTTCTTTATATAGTATAGATATATTATATATATTATATAAGCAGTAGGTATAGTTCATGAAAATAGGAAAAGTAAATGTTCCATTTATGACCTTTATTATCCACACTTTATATCCCTTAGCAAAAAGTAGTTTATTCAAGTATACTAAAAGTGCACTAATTTCATACTTAAAATCAGGCAGTGCACTTAGAGTTTACTTATTCTAAACTATATTTCATATACTTAACAATTGTATAGTCAAATGTACTTGACTATACTATTGTTTACTTTATTGATCAGTAAAGTATATTTTAGTAAACTTAAAAATGTCCCAATTTAGTTCGAAGAAGTATTACTTTAGTAATACTTAAAGTACTCTGTTTGGTATACTTTCTAAACTTATACTTAAGTATTCTTAATAAAATTTACTTTAAGTATACTACTTTTTGCTAAGGGATAGTTTAAGTTAAATAAATGAGATTATAAATTAGGAATATGTGCTAATATATAACTTATTTTAGAATTTTATTTGGATAAATAGAGACGCATTTTATCTTTAGTGAAAGTGCTCTGATAAGGGGCAGTAAAAATGGCCCCTTAGAGTCTGTATAGTTACCTAGCAGCAGTGTCTGCTTCTGAAACCTTGTGAAATGGGCGTTACATCTGAAACCTGAAGCTGGACAAGCTCACACACATTTCTCAGTAAAACTTGGAGACATTCTTTCTTTTGAATAAAACTTGAGGTAAACAAGGCTAGAAACAGCTTTTGGTGTGACGCACAAAGCTGAGGTCAGATAAGGAGAGGCTCAGCATTTAATTCAGGTGACCAGTTGGAATCCATAAGGAAAACAAAAACAAACCTTTTCAATATTGACCTTTGTTTTTTTTATTTTTTATTTTTTTTGGAAATTAACTGTACCGGCCTAAACTTAATTAGAAACTTGCAGTGCCTTGTAAAAGCTTTTATGTCGTTTGAACCTCAGGATGAATTTTATGTAAGAAACAAAAACAAAACCGTGTATAATTGTGGAGTAAGAGGAATACGTGGATCGTTTTATAACGTTTTTTACAAGTCGATCTCTTCAGGGTGTGATGCAGATGCATTCAGCCTCCTTATTTAACAATCTAGCAACAGTTGCTCTGGGTGTGCCCCGTTCTCAGCTCAAAATCAGTCAGATTAGGTGTAGAGCTTTTCATGTCTTAACTCGGTTTCTCTGTTGAAACTGAACTTTGCCCAGGTTATCACATGAAGAAGCCTCCATTGTAGTAGTTCTTGTAGCATTAGCCGTATGTTTAGGATTGTTGTCCTGCAAATAGGTGACCCTTACCTCCATTTTTAAGTATATTCCCTTTCACAAATTTTCTTCTGACGAATATTATCCCCACACCATGATATGTCCAATGTCGTGTTGGTGCAATGGTTACACAAATGGTCGTGCAATGGACACACAAAAAACAAATGTTTTTTTTTTAGAAATTGTTTTCTTTTGCTACTCTTACAAAGATATTAGATCTGTGTGACTTAGAATGGCCATAATTTAGCTTTTTGAAAAAATTCAGATGAATGACATTGACGCTTTCTTGTTGCCACATGACAGAAGGTGAATGTTTAATAGTTTTGCCGTATTACTATTTGTAAGACTGTAACTGATTCGTACTTTATTTTTCTCCACATGCTTCTTTCTAAATGTTGTATTTTAAACCCATACAACCCTAGAGGTGATCAAATAAGAAGATTCAGCAAAAATCCAAACTGCCCCTGTCAGCATCTGCTATTTACTTTGCAGTCAGTCTCTGCCTAAAAAGGATCTTTCAAAATATTTCTGTTTTCTGCCATGCCTTTCAGCTCTACAACATTTTTAAATATTTAAGGCAATGTTTTAGGGAAAAAAGTGTTGAAATCCTTTGCTATGGTGCCAACACGATAGGAACTTGACAGATGAGGCCCAAAGGGGGTAATTTCTTTCAGACTTACAGATGTATTGATACGAGTGTTGCTGATGAATTGTGATGCACATATTGACTCTGTCTCATCTGTGGGAGAACACTGAGAGGTGTGTCTGCTCATGTCTACGCTTGATATCATTGACGACTGCAAAACAAGCAGGGGCATGGGCCTAATGTTTGTTCTCTCCTTATTAGGTAATGCTATTGATATATGTGCGTCTATCATGACTTGAGTCATTGTGAACCAAATTTCAACACTCATGAGTCGCTCTATTTCACCGGGAAATAAAAACACTGAAAACTATGCAAAATGGAGCAGTTCAGAGTCGTGTATTCCCTAAGGCAGGGGTTTTCAACATTTTCCAGGCCAAGAACACCCAAACTTATGGCAATATGGAGCGGGGACCCCCTAATTATATATATATTGTATGAAATTGTGTTATATCAAACTGGTCCTTTAGTCACTCTATTACAGATGGAGTAATGTAACGAAAATAATTTCTCCCTAGGATTATTAAAGTATTTCTGATTCGGATTCCTGGTTGATGGGACAGGTGTGAATGAAACGGTGCCCAGCTTGAAAGAGCTCCTGTGTGTCGCTGAATGTGAGCATTGATGACTTAAAGACATCTTCTTCCTCCATTTATCTGTTTACTACAGTGTGTTGAATTCATGGTAATGTGTAATAAAAAAAAAATCAATTAGGGGACAAAATTGCAGGGGGAGTATAAAAAAAACAAAAAGTCTAATCAACCAAAACTTTCACGACCCCCATGATGTACCTCCATGGACCCCCTAGGGGTCGCGGACCCCCTGCTGAAGAACTCCGCCTTAAGGGTTTTGAAATTTGGACACTGTACATATCTGTCTACATTGTAGACTCACAGATTAAGCTTTGAAGAAAAATGTTAAACAAGACCTTAAATGGGAAAGTTAGATGTCAATGTCTTAATCTAAGGCAAACAGATAATAGCATTTCTAATGAATTTTTTAGGTGCCTGCTGCATTGTTTTAAAAAATGAATAGAATCATTTATATGAGGGATAATCACAGTTTAGATGAAGACTCCCCAGAGATATGGTTGCAATTGGTGGCAAGTTCCTGATCCGACTTTTTAATTTCCAGTACGAAGCAGATATCGCAGCTTTGAGTGCTGACTAATACCAACATTGACCCAATACGATATCAGCACAAAATCACGCTTACTTTTATTACTCATGTTGTTGTGTAAAATATAAGAAGTTTTGATCAAGTTTTATTCAAACAGAAAAATTATTCTCAACAAGAACAGATAAGATAACAACTCACCCATCTATCCTTTTTCTTACACACTTGTCCCAAGTAGGGTCGCGAGGGGTGCTGGTGTCTTATCTCCAGCTGTCTACGGGCGAGAGGTGGGGTACACCCTGGACAGGTCACCACTCCATCGCAGGGCAACACAGAGACAAACAACCATTCACACACACACTCACACCTAAGGGGAAGCCAATTAACCTAGCAGTCAGGTTTTTGGACTGTGGGAGGAAGCTGGAGTACCCAGAGAGAACCCACGCATGCTCAGGGAGAACATGCAAACTCCATGCAGAAAGACCCGGGCTGGGAATCAAACCCAGAACCTTCTTGCTGCAAGGCACCAGTGCTACCCACTGTACCACTGAGCAACCCAAGTCACCCATTTATTGTAAACCAATGACATAAACATGTGTGGAGTTTTTCCATCACCTTGTTAATATTGGACATTTTAGACGTAATCAGATCTATTCTGATGTTAGTGTTTTGGCTGATATTAGACTGATAACCAATATCAAATTGGGTCGGTACATCTCTGGTAAATTGATGAGAGTGCTTAATTATAATATACAGGTGCTGGTCATAAAATTAGAATATCATGAAAAAGTAGATTGATTTCAGTAATTCCATTTAAAAAGTGAAACTTGTATATTATATTCATACATTACATACAAACTCATATATTTCAGATGTTTATTTTGTTTAATTTTGATGATTACAAATGACAACAAATGAAAATCTCAAATTCATCATATCAGAAAATTAGAATATTGTGAAAAGGTTAAAAATTGATGGCCCCTGGTGCCACACTCTAATCAGCTAATTAACTCAAACCACCTGCAAAAGCCTTTAAATGGTCTTTCAGTCTAGTTCTATAGGCTACACAATCATGGGGAAGACTGCTGACTTGACAGTTGTCCAAAAGACGACCATCGACACCTTGCACAAGGAGGGCAAGACACAAAAGGTCATCGCTAAACAGGCTGGCTGTTCACAGAGCTCAGTGTCCAAGCACATTAATAGAGAGGCGAAGGGAAGGAAAATATGTGGTCGAAAAAAGTGTACAAGCAAGAGAGATAACCGCACCCTGGAGAGGATTGTGAAACAAAACCCATTCAAAAATGTGGGGGAGATTCACAAAGAGTGGACTGCAGCTGGAGTGAGTGCTTCAAGAACCACCACACACAGACGTATGAAAGACATGGGTTTCTGCTGTCGCATTCCTTGTGTCAAGCCACTCTTGAACCACAGACAGCGTCAGAAGCGTCTAAAGAGAAACAGGACTGGACTGCTGGTGAGTGGTCCAAAGTCATGTTCTCTGATGAAAGTAAATTTTGCATTTCCTTTGGAAATCAAGGTCCCAGAGTCTGGAGGAAAAGAAGAGAGGCACTTCATCCACGTTGCTTGAAGTCCAGTGTAAAGTTTCCACAGTCAGTGATGGTTTGGGGTGCCATGTCATCTGCTGGTGTTGGTCCATTGTGTTTTCTGAGGTCCAGGGTCAACGCAGCCACATACCAGGAAGTTTTAGAGCACTTCATGCTTCCTGCAGCTGACCAACTTTTTGGAGATGCAGATTTCATTTTCCAACAGGACTTGGCACCTGCACACAGTGCCAAAGCTACCAGTACCTGGTTGAAGGACCATGGTATCCCTGTTCTTAATTGGCCAGCAAACTCTCCTGACCTTAACCCCATAGAAAATCTATGGGGTATTGTGAAGAAGAAGATGCAATACACCAGACCCAACAATTCAGAAGAGCTAAAAGCCACTATTAGAGCAACCTGGGCTATCATAACACCTGAGCAGTGCCACAGACTGATCGACTCCATGCCACGCCGCATTGCTGCAGTAATACAGGCCAAAGGAGGCCCAACTAAATACTGAGTGCTGTACATGCTCATACTTTTCATGTTCATACTTTTCAGTTGGCCAACATTTCTATAAATCCTTTGTTTTTATTGGTCTTCAGTAATATTCTAATTTTCTGATATGATGAATTTGAGATTTTCATTTGTTGTCATTTGTAATCATCAAAATTAAACAAAATAAACATCTGAAATATATGAGTTTGTATGTAATGTATGAATATAATATACAAGTTTCACTTTTTAAATGGAATTACTGAAATCAATCTACTTTTTCATGATATTCTAATTTTATGACCAGCACCTGTATTGTTTGTGTCAAAGTAATTTTCACTGCATTTCCTGTCGTCAGATAAATACTAAGAGGAAGGCCAAATCTCTGAACTCAGTTGTTCCATAATCTGAGATCTCCAAAACTGTTTTACTAAAAAATAATGATAATAAAAAAAAAAAAAAAAACATAAGATTGTTGTCTTTGCTTATTTTTGTTACAGTGTAAAAACGTATAGCCACTAATCAAACCTGTACTGATTTATTCCACTCAATAAAATGAAAGAAATGAGAAAAAAAAATCCTGTTTTCTTATTCACGTGGAGGGGCACTGTGCCTGCTGCTTTATACATTCTAAAGCTGTCACTGAAGATGGCCTCCAGCGCTATAATAATGCCTGTTTTAGTGATCAAACCAGGGTTAGTCCAGGGCTAACTTCTTTTCAATGCAATCACTTTAAAGCCAACTGCTTTATGAAACTTTCAGCCAGCAGATTTTTGGTTAACCTGCTTTATCTCATTCACAATTTGGTGGGTTTTTCCACCGTGATGATTTATAAGACTTTCTTAATATTTACTTTTTTCTCAATTCCCCTGCTGAACTCTTTTAGTTTTTTTATTAAACAGCAAAATCAAATACATAGCTTAAAACAAACTAAATCCTCTTTTATAGCCACCTATGTTAATCTGAATTTCTAGGGTGTCTAGATTTTCTTCTTGATTAATTTTGTTTGACTTTTTACCTTGGTATTTTGCCAAGTTTCACTGATCTACCCACATTTGCCTTGGAGTGAATGTTGTAACCGCTTCCAAACCCATCCTCTATCTTTTTATTGAAGCTTTATCAGCCCGTGTAGAAGAGAAAGGAAAACAGTTGTTTACTTTTCCTGTTTTATTCAAAAGGCGTGTTTGGTGCCCTTCTTTAACCTGCCCTCATGTTTCTGACTTTACTTTGTTTCTCTTGTCTTTTCCACCGCTGCAGACATGGTGAAATATGCAGATAACAGCCTTATTAATGTCATAATGGGAAAAAGTCCTTTTGTGGACAGTAAATAGATGGATTTTCTCAGGTGTTGAGCTTGTCTGTATCATAAGCATCTATTTGAAATGATTTCCTTTCCTTTTTCTCAACACTTTCACGTCTTCCCTCGTTATATCCACTTATTACCCTTCAGGCTTGAATGGGAGATCGTGTGAAAACAACCCCTCCGATTTGCTATGCGTCTGGTACAACAGGACCAGGTGACGGGTTGCAGCAGGTGGTTCTTTGTCCCAGAGGCAGCCTGACTTGCAGCTTCAAAAAGACATTCCTTTATGATGACAAAACATTTTTTAAACATGAAATATTTAATGGGACAGAAAGGCATGTCCTCTTATAACCCAGTGCACAGATGCATGCTTACTGCATTACAGGGCATACACTATGCAATTTCTCGATTTTAATGAAACATTTTTTTTACCTTTTATCCCAAGAAACAACTTTTTTTCCCCCGCTAACTTGTTAATAAAATACGAGAGATCCTTTTCCATGTGTTGTAAACAAACTATAAAGCTTGCGTTGTTTGATGTTTGGTTTGGTGTCAGCACGCACCCTTCCTGTATGGTCGGGACAAAGGTGATATTTGCACATGACTGTTGGGTTTCTGTAGTTAACGGACACATTTTCTCTCACACACCTTAATCTTTAAGGAAATATATCTTCTGCAAATCTGGTTTACCAATTTCCTCAGCTGTCACTCTAATAAATTTAACAATACATTAGTCTTTTGTCCTGCTTCCAACAAAGAGCTTCCAGCTTTAGTATTTCAATGGAAAATGGAATGCATAACAGACAGGAATTAAACAGGGAAATGTTATAGTGCATGAAATATTTTACTCTTGCATGAGTCTAAATGCCTTTTTGTGCTTTTAATTCTTAATTTGGACATTATTGATATATTTTTTACGTGACAATTTACATGCAGCCACTGAGGTTTTTTGGTGTCACAGAAATTCTAGGAGAGCTTGGAGCTTGGAGCTGCCAATAAAAACTGAGCTCTACAAAGTCCCTCACTGCCCTGGGTGTGTCTTGTCTTTACTCCTTCCTCGTGGAGGTCCAGTATCTAAAAGAAATCTTGTCTCTTTTCACCTCGATATGAGAGGCTAGATATGAATGCATGCAAGTTATTTTGTGTTCTTGTCTGTTGAGTTTTAACCCCTGAGGATGAATTAAGTAGAGCTTCTGCAAACGTTAACCTGAGAAGCATGAGATTCAAAATTGTTGTCAGGCAAACCACCAGTTGGTAACTCAATAAAAATAACAACAACTCTATTTTGACTTTCAGAAAGAGAGATATAAGAAATGCAGCCGTGCATGGGACTCTGCAGACAAGTCTAGGAAGGTGGTCTGGTTAGATGTGACCAAGGGAACTTTTTGATATGTATTCTAAACGCTGTATGGCAGAAAAAAAAAAAACTGCAAGGTAATCTGAGCACATTACCCCCCTGTGGATCTTTGGGGTGGTAAGGGTTTAGAATGAGATCCAAGCTTGTTGATTTATTAGCTATGCCCAGTCAAAGTCCAGAAATAAATCCAACCATTAACCTGTGGGAGACACGTGAAAATGTGCCGCTTCTGTACTCTAAATCCAGTTTGACTGAGCCTTGTTTTAGAAAGTAGCGTTTGTTACGTTCATTGTTAAATTGTGAAAGTTAGCCAAGTTTTGGTTCAGGTTGGAATGAAATAAATGTATATTTTATTTTCATTTGTAAATACATATGCCTTTTCATGCCTTTAGCTGACAGAGCAGACCACACTCAGCAGCAATGATACCAAAATTGGAAAAACAAATATGTAAAAATTTGCTTTTAAGAAACGAATAAAAATGTGTTTTGTCTGTGAATATGCTCTATCCATAACTCCTCAATTGGAAAAATGTATTTTCATCTAGTTTCATTTTGTAAAAAGTCTTCTTTAAGGAATCTTTTGCTATCTGATTATTGATGGATTAATCAAAAAAATTATGTTTACATGAGATCGTCCAATGAGTATATTTGGGGCTTAGAATTTAAACCCATTTTTGTAGGCCTATCCCTAATAAGTTGTTTATCTTCTAGGTGCATCATGAGCAGCAGCTACAGTGTTTCCCTGATCGGTCCAGCCCCGTGGGGCTTTAGGCTGCAAGGAGGAAAGGACTTCTGCTTGCCTCTTACCATCTCTCGGGTGAGGAGGACAAACACACACACACACACACACCCCTACTCATTCTGCCATCGTAGTGAGAACCATGTGTTGACTCCCATTGACTTCCATCGATTTTTTGTCATTTTCAACCCTTTCTATGCCCTAACTCTAAAACTAACCATAAACCTAACCCTTACCAATGCATACTGAACCCTAACCCTAACCAATTGACACCTTAGCCCTAGACCTAACCATTAGCAAAATAGCATGTGAGGACCGGCAAAATTGTCCTGACTTTGCAGCAACTGGTCCTCAATTTGATGGTGAAATTGGAAAAATGGTCCTCACTCTGAGGGAAAGGCAGGTACACACACACACACACACAGCCACTCTTGTGTTGCCGTCACCTCGTGACAGTCACCCCAAAGGAATCCAACCAATGCACATTTTGCCATTTGCCTCCTCAGTGACAAAAGGACCATTTGCCTCCCGTTGGACACCAATTTCTAGATTTGGTCAGATCCTTTAACTGCTCATGGACTATAGCTTTGGATTTTTACTCTCTGTCTTTCTGCCTATCATTACATACCTAAATATTTGACATAATCAGTCCATTTGAAAAGTGAAGCACATATTTCATGGATGAAGCAAATGGGCGTTGATGACTGCTGTCATTCGAATGAGGGATAAGCGTCCTACCCTCTTCCTGGTATTTGCCCTGATTAAAGACACAGGAGACGTGATGTGTGCTGTGTGCTGTGGAAGCAGTTGAGTGTAACTCTAGAGAGCCACAGTGGTTCTGTAATAACTATTTGGGGACTTTCTGCCACATTAATTCAAAGTGGACTGACCAGAATCTTTCAAACTGTTCTGGCTTATTGTTGGCATCTGCATATACACAGTACCATCATTTATGCTCATGGCTGCGGAGGACATTTTATCCAGCATTGTGTTAGAGGATCTGCTAAAAAAATTACACGGAAACCTTTTGCGCAGTAGGAGTTTATACTAACAGTCCGATACAGCTAAAAGTTGGCATTTAGTTTTCAGCCAGTATGGGCTGTGCTTTGTGTACTTCTGCAGAATGAGAGGGGAGTTACTCAGGTCTTGCTGCTTCCTGTTATGAAACTCTAATCTGAGTGACTTGACCAAGGTCAGTTCCTCTGTTTATTTGTTGTTGGCAGGATCAGTTACGGAATGTCGACTATCATGTGTGCAAAGAAATTACGTCTCTCATTTGGTGATGTGTCCATCAGCATTTGGACGTCCACACTATTTAAAGTCCTGCTGCTGCGATAATGGTGGTATGCAGGACATAATGTTGTCAGTGGACCTCTTGTCACTGTGAAAGCAGCTGATGAATGAAGCACGAAGCACGTCCACATTCATGAGCTGATTGAATGGCAGAGTTCCTTCCATAGTACAAGTCAGAATAAAAAAGAAAACATAACAGTGGAATGTGTTAAATTTTCCAGACGTCTACATCCACTCATCGGTAGTATTATTATGATAGTGTAGTAAACATTTTTTTTTTTTCAGAGTCGAGGTCAGAGACATTCCAGAAGCTCAGTATCAACCAGGTTTATCCGTTCCAATAAAAACAAAGGTTAGTTTTAGCTGGAGATAATGGTCCTGCTGAGACACACAGTTCTGCCCACTTATAATTAAGTTGGTTCAGTTCTACTGAACAAGCTGGGAACTACCCAAGCTAAAAAACTGTTTTAAATAACAATCAGGTTTTGGACGGAGATAATAGTTCCAGGTTTCCAGCTGAAAAAGCTCCCAAACACCCATTAAAACTGGTTTAGGAATGAATGAAACCCCTTTTTTATTTCTCACAACCACTACCTTGTTGAAAATTTGTGGACTGCAATTAGAAACTAGTTTAATGTAGGTAAACAAGCAGTTTAATTGAACTATACCACTTTTACTAAAGTGTAGTGAAATATTCAGTGTGCATAATCCCTGGACATGGGCAGCATGGTATCAAACAAAAATATTAAGCTTTGGTGAATATTATAATTTTAATGCCATTTGCAGTAAAACATTTAGCTTACTCTTTTTTCGATTTGTTTTCATATAATCTCCCCATTGTGAGTCCTATAAAACAATACAAACTGAGTTTTGTCATCGACAGCTGGAGTCCATTAACATGGCCAAATATATGAAAAAATCAATATATAACAGTTGAAAAGACTATTCTACCAAACACTACATCTAATCTGTCTTTTGGGATTGTAACCATGCTTAGTTGAAGTGCTTAAGATGGTTGAAACAGAATTTATAATAATTAAAATATCTTTTAATATTAACATAATATAATATTTAATAATCTAAATGTTATTAAAGCAAATTTTTATAATATTTTATAGTGGTAAAAAAGTATTGATGCGCCATTAATGTGGATAATTTTGAAATACAAAAACTCTTTGATGAACATTTATCATGGAAACCTCACAGATTTCATAGATTATATGAAGCTTAAAATATCCCAAACTCATGTGGTTTTAAACAAAGTAAAGGAATTTCAAAATGAAAAGGTTTTGTACAATTCACTGATTATTTTGGATCCTTGTTTATCAGTGTACAACTGAATGTGCATGTTAATAAAAAATAAATAAATAAGTACAGTGTAAAAAGCAATAAATATATTTAATCACTCATTTCAGAAAGGGAAAATCGTGTATCGTATGGATTCATCAATACACATAGGTTGAAAACTTTTCAAGCTTTTATTTCTTGCTATTCTGTTCTTTATGGTTTACAGATAATAAATTCCCAAATTTGATGCCTCAGGTATAAATTAGAATAAAAAAAAAAATGTATTTTTGAAACTCTTAATGCTTTCTCAGTCTGATGAGGATGATTGCTGACTGGACAGAAGCCCCAAATACAACTGCGACTGCAAATCCTACTCATTGACTACAAACATCTTGGCAAAGGAGGATAAATTCTTACTATAGCTCAACTGTCCAGAGATAAAAAGAAGGCAAGCTTGAATCTTATTTGGAGGTCAGGGCTCCACAAAGTGTATGAAGGGTGGGAAGGCTCTGAAGCTGCTTAAAGTCCGGTGTAATAATTTGTGTTAATGTCATCGGCTGGTTCTGGTCCACTATGTTTTCAGAAGTCAGCTGTCAGAGCAGCTATCTCCCACGACATAAAAAAAAACTCCTGCTTCTTTCTTCTGAAAAGCTTTATGGAGATATTGATTTCATTTTTCAGTCAAAATTACCGGCACACCAGGCTGATTAAGTGACCATGGTGAGCTAAGCCTGACTGGCAAACAAACTGGCCTGACCTGAACCCCACAGAGAACCTGTGAAGTATTGACACCAGCAGGATAGACAAATGCAGAAGATCTGAAGGAAGTTACATCCTTTCAAAATAACATGGACTTCAATTACAACCCAGCCTTAATCTTATTTATTTTCTGAGACTGAATTTCGGACTTGAATTATCTGTGCACAACACTTATCAAAATTACACATTTAAAGGCTTGAAATATATTAGTCTACTGTATGTGTAATAGATTTCTAAAACATGGCAGGAGTCTTACTTTCAAAATGTGCATCAAAAATAAAAAGGCCGTTTTATGATTTCTAATCTTCCTAATTTTCTAAAACTATATGAATCATTCTGATAATTTTGTAGATTAGATAAGAATTACAGCTGTTTAATCATCCCACCATTAAGAAATTAAAGTCAAAGTTCATCATTTAAAAAGGAAAATTAATCTTTTTTTACCAATGCTAAATATTAATAACTGTGGGACAGGAAATGTACATTTCTCAACTTCATGCAATGTGTCTCTCTGCTATAAGCACTGCAAGTTCATTGCATGATATCAAAATAAGACTTGATCATTTTTTAAATATCTTAATATAACATGTGATTAATAGTTTAATGTTTTGTATTTATTTAATCTCGGGTCATAGTAAGCGCTTAGACTCTATTGGTCAGTGGTATTTTCAGTTACTTGGTGGGGGAAAAAATCAGATAACTTAATTTTCAGCAAGGTTTTATTGAAAATGTTGCCTCTTGCTTTGTTTAATGGTTTTAACCACTTCACAAACTCTTTACCTTCTTCATATTATGTTGAATTGCTCAGTAAATTTCACCATATAGGTTTTATGTTTAAAAGATTCCGAATGTACTACTTTCTGATTATCAGTAAAATTATACTGCCGCCTTCTGAATATGCGTATTACGTCGAATGAGTTGCGGTTTGAAGTAAATCCCTCATCACATCTAATTACCAGTTAGTGTTTTATTTCAAAAATACTTGCGAAGTCTGAGTAAATAGCTCTGATTTCTTGTTTATAGTGAGGCTTTTTTAAACGATCCTGTCTGATTTGTTTATGATTCGGTGGTTGGTTTGTGTCCTGACTGTGTTGGATTATGATGTATAATTTAACCTCCATTTAGACATGGACAACATCATTGGAATCAATCCATTTTGTAGAGTAAGTAGACAAGACGTGTTTGGAAACATCTGCAAATAGTTTTCACTGCTGCTTTAATCCCTTAGATTGGTGAGGGAGAAAATTGTGTTGACCTCAAGCTTGTTTCAGGGTTCATCAGAAACCTGCCATGTTAGATGCACTCACCAGGTAAATGGAAAATACATCTGTTGACAACACATCTGAGCTTGTATTTATTCTCTGATGAATGGTGTTTCCATGGAGTAATGATGTAATAGCTATATTTTACATATGCCTACCACATGTAACTGAGCTAATGATTGGGGATAAAATATAAAGCTTGCTGCAGAATGACCTCAAACAATCATTGTGATTTCCTTTTAAAGGGATTTTCAGCTTTAGTGCTTAAAATATCATTTAATAACTTGAAAAATTGTATTATGCACTATATAACAGAGCATTTTCTGTTTATAATGCTGTGGGGGCATGCTGTATGTATTTGATTAAGTAAATAACATATGCAGGGTATAATCGCATTTGACGTTTTAAGTGAAATATCTAACTTGTTTTAGTGACGGTAAGTGTTGAAACTGGGACCACCCAATGCCTTATGAATGC